ACTCTGGCAAAGCACTGCAGCCACAGGCCTGTCAAGTCTGGTTAGAGGAGTCACCGCAGGCATAGGCCAGAGCAGGGTTTAGGGTTTACACTTGTCCCAGGCACGGCTTTTCGACCAAATTCCAGTCAAGGAATGAGAATCTCCTTCCTTCCTTCCTCCCTCCCTTCCTTCCTTCCTTCCTTCCTTCTTTCCTTCCTTTCTTCCTTCCTTCCTTCCCTCCCTCCCTCCGTCCCTCTCTCCCTCTCTCCTTCCCTCCCTAGGAGTTTTCTATATGGTTTATTGCTCTGCATTGCTACCCAGAAAACAGTGGTGGCATGAGTCCCTGGTGAGTGCTGCCAGTTCTAACCTAGACGCCCCTTGGTGAGCCTGTAAAGTATTTAATACTCGGAGACCCCTTTGGAACGCCAGGTATGACACACAGGCCAAGCAGGCATCGTCTGGGTGGAAAGGCTGAGCCTAAAAAAAGACTTATCGTTAAGGACACAGAAGCCACCAGAGCAGAGAAAAAAAAAAACATCATTGCAGACACTAAGTCTGTTGTTCAGAAACAAACTCATGCTCCAGAGGGAATTTGCTGGGAATTCGCTAGAGAGGAAAATGAAAAAGAAATGTTTGGTGTGTTGTGCCCCAGCCTGGCCTCTGTGAGGCAAAGGGCGAGGTCTGCGAAGGGGAGGCCGGGAGCGGGTGCATGCTGCCGCCCTCTGCCTGGCTCAGGGACCTGGAGGGTCAGAAAGGCCTGGGTTCCACAGTGAGGGGTAACCGGCGGCTGCAGAGACAAGGCCTCTGCAGGGAAGAGCAAATACAGATGCCAGAGGACTTTAAGGGTTTAGAGTCAGTGGTGAGAATAAAGGGATGTGAGCTTATGCCAGGAAAGGCCAGGATGCCACAGATCCAGCTCTGAGCTTCACGGGGGTTAAAAACAATCAAAGGTCAAACGGCTATTGAATGTCGCCATGTACCAGTCGCATTCCTAAGTGTTGATAGAGAGATGGATAGATGGATGGACAGATAGATAGTCTCGTTTGATCCCCACAACAACCCTGTGAGGTAGACATGATGTCCCTCAGGCCTGGAAGTTTAAGAAATTTGGCCAGAGACGCACATCTATGAAGCTGGTCCAAAACCCCAGTGGGTGACTTTGGGAGCCATGCTGTAATGGGCGCTTCTTACCCACTAACATACACACAGATGACTGGGGGGTCTTTTAAATGCGGGCGCTGATTTGGCAGGTCTGGAGGGAGAGGGCTCTAACATCTCTCGGGGTGTTCCCCTTGCTGCTGGTCCCCACACCCCACTTTGAGAAGCAAGGCTCTGCACGGTGACACACCAATTATAGGAGGCAGTCCTAAACCTTCCATCCACTCGCTGGCCTCGTCCTCCCCCCTTCGTCACCATCGTCAGCTTCGCATGTTAGAAGTGCTCTCTTAAACTCATTAAATACACACTCTCAGCTCTCATTAAAACCTCATCATGCCGGCTGAATGGCTCAGTTGGTTAAGAGCTCGCTCAAGAGTTTGAGCTCTGACCAACAGGGTCGCTGGTTCAATTCTCAGCCCAAGGTGAGCTGCTGCTGAGCTGCCAACAGGTGGCAGGATGGCTCAGCTAAAAATAATTAATAAAATAAAAAATACATAAAACCTCATCGTGACACTGTGAGGTAAAAGGTATTATTCCCATTTTACAGCCGATGAAGCAGAGGCTTAGAAAGGTCAAGTCCACTGGCGCAAATCACACCGCGAGTGGCTGAGCCTGGATACAGGGTCTAAAGTCCTGGCTCGTAATATGTTCCTCAGAGCAAAGCATTCAAATAAAACTGGGGTGAGACAGGGGACCTTCTGCTAGGAGCCCTGTTTTCTAGGGAGTGGGGCTGGGGAGGACTGAAGTTTCTATCTCCTCTTTCTGGCCAGGGAGGTAGAGCCGCAGGTGATCCTGGAGTACCCTTCCCAAAGTCTTGTTTTGTAAATGCAAATAAACAACTCGCTTGGAACCAGACCAAAAAAAAAAAAAAAAAAAAGGCCTTGAGGCTGACAATCTCTCCTCTTCCGCGTCCGAGGTGGGGCGTGAGGGAGAAAGCACAACTGTTTAGAGCTGGGGTCAAACTTCTCCGTCGCTTTGCCTTTCCTCCTTCACGCTCCTTCATTCTCTTCCCCCAGACGCCACAGCAAGAGAGCCAACAGTCCTTGTAATTTGCATCGCGGCAAGTACAGACATCCTTGATTTCCTCACATGCCTATAATCCCTGCTTAAATCACATAAAGGTATTAGCGTTTATAAGTTTCCCCAGCAGTGAGCTCCCTGGGATAATTATGAGTAATATATATTTATAGTTTAATTTCATCAGCTCAACTCGAGCCAAAAAAATCGACCTGAGCCCACTCCTCAGTAATAATTTTTCCTTTCCTTACAAGTCTATAGCATTTATCCTGCTCCTTTTGTAGAAGCAGCCATGGCATGGCAGGCTTTTGACTAGGACTCAGAACTGCCTTCGAGTCACAGCTGTGCCCCTCGCTAGTTTTGTGAACTTGGGGACAAATTCCCAAGTTCCCTGAGCCTCAGTTTCCTCATCCATAAAATGGGGGTGCTGACATCTCTCCTGAGGTTGTTGTGAAGATGAAATAAGCTGTAACTATGTGGAGGTATCTGGAATAATACAGATGACCACTGAGTGTAGAATCTTTTATCCCTGGTAGTGGGTGCCAGTGAGTAGGATGACTGGGCTCTTCCCTGTATCTCTCTCTCTCTCTCTCTCTCTCTCTCTCTCTCTCTCTCTCTCTCTCTTTTTTTTTTTAAAGATTTTTTTTTATTGGGGAATTGGGAACAGTGCTAGGGAATTGGGGGAAGGGGAACAGACAAGTTGCCGTCATTTTTTTTGGTTCTTCAATCTAGTTGTGGAGGACGTTGCCCCACTGGCCCAAGTTGGCACCATCATTGCGCTCTTCCCTGGTGAGGCAGATCAGTCGCCGGCTTCTGGACGGCCGCTCACTG